ACCTGGGGTGATAAAACTAGTACATTAGTCACAGACAGAATAGGGAAACGGAAAAAAAATTAGGCCTGACTTTGGCAACGGCAACCAGGCAACTCAAGGGACTTTTTAAAAACCCCTCGTATAAGCAGCAGAAGAGCTTATGGGGAAATTAATCCAAAAGAAATCTGTGCCCATTGAGTTCCTTTGAATTGTATTTCTCTATTTCTCATACTCTGACGTTGGGAAACTACTCGCGGTAAATGTCATCAACATAAGAAAGTGCTGAAAGCATAGCACAGCGGTTTTTCCGTGCAAATTCTAATATTGGCTCATTTGAAGCATGCAACCGAGTGTCACTACTTTTCGCTTGAGCACAATTTATATTTCAATTATCACTTTTACCCTTCAAACGGAGTGTGATTAGGGGAGAGTGGGGTAATACCGAATGATAGGTAAATCGGAACGGCGCCAACCAATTTGAATGAGCATGACAAGCAGCCACTTATGCCATTGCACAGGCAAGTGTGGGAACCTATCGTGAAAGTTTCCGTGACGTTTCAGTGGTAAGTAATATACAGTCAACTCTTGATATACCGTCATTGTAGGTTTCTGCCAATGTTGGTGTTTTATCGAGGGTGGCGTTAAATCGAAACACATGGTTTTAAAATTGAAAGCTTTTTTCTATTTTTTTTTTAAATAAAAACCACAAATTTTCACTTTAATCCATGCAGGATACACCAACTACACAGCTCTAAAAAATCAATATGCATATTTCATCCACGATAAGATATTATGGATTCTAATTTTAATGTGCATTACTCCTATACACCTTCTGCTCACATTGTTGCCCAAAAACAGAGAAAAAATTGTTTGCAACTTTTTTCTGACCTTTGACCACATATACCTCCTTCTAACGGCACACTACCAATTTTCCTCCACATTTGCTTCATTATTTTTCCCAATTTTGCTAGGTATCATGAGATTGAAATGAGTAGATTACAGCTTTAAATTTTTTACACGGTACAATGATTGTGGCATGTCCAGTATCTTGCTTGACGAAATATCGAATAAGGCCCATGTAGAATATGATATGGTTGTGCAAATAAAGATGTTGGCAGATGGCCGCTTGCGAGGGTGCCGCTGTAACGGGGTAGTGGCTAAGGTAAGCAAGCCTATAGGGAAAATTTGTTCTCGGGAACGAATTTGTAATGAGCGAGAGTGGCGTTATATCGAGGGTTAACTGTATATTCATTTTAATCTCGATTGATGCAAGGAACTGCTTGCGATGCGTGACCTTCCTTGGGGTTGAATGAGATCTGACCGATTCGAACGAATTCGCATGGAAAAGAAGAGCTACTATTCTTTCATGAAGAATCCGAGACGGAATTTCAAAAGAACCCCCGATACTTGTTCTCTAGTTAGATGAAAACGCTTACAGTAATAAAATAGCTTACTTACAGGTTTTAAATAATCAGGCTTACTCTTTTTGTTGAATAGCAAAACCCTAGTTTTATTGTCCTTGTGATCACATTTGCTCTCTTTGGGATCACCTTGACCTTTTCAGCGCAAATGCAGTGTACGGGATTTGTTCACACCTGTTTTGAACACTTTTGAATTTGCAAAAAATGCTTCATTAATTTGTTTCAATGCCTTGCAATGCTCGACAGGTTTTCCGTGGCTTTCGTACACAGCTCGCCACCGTTACTTCCATGGGAGAAGGGCTTGTCGGATCAGGGAGAGAGGAAGTTTATTTCTTTCTTTCTTGCAAATTTCCATAGTCCAGCCACGGTTGACACCCTACGACGAACGAGACGCTGTTTGAGGACTCCAAACATGCAGAAATCCATTGGAGCGCAGTCAGGTGACTTCACAGGGATATAAGGGTGTCTTCCATTTCGCCCCCGAAACTTGATTGATAATTACCAAATTTTCCGTTTTTTATCTTGATAAACGGGGGCGAGAATGCACAGGAGCAACTATCCAAACGTTGATTTCGTGATTGATAACCAGCCTCAACCCTTTAAAAGGGGAGGCAAGCTTGACTCCCAATTTATTTTATACTGTATACCCTGTGTAATATGAATACTAAAAATGACTAGGAGCTGATTGAAACTATAGGCCCTCATGGATTCCTATCGTGTTTTCAATACGAAGCATTCATATGATGGTAATATAAAGCACAAATTAGGTCATGCAGCTGAAAAGAATTGCATCTGAACGAACTTATTCTTTCTACTCAAATGACACCACATGATACAGAGCTGAAACACCTTTTTTTTTAGATCAATTTTGTTTCTCATGAATAGATGCTGGAGGCGGTCAATCCGAGCCTAAGAACTATACACAAAGCCTTCGAGGACAAACTTCCTTCCTCCCATTGCAGTCTCTATCATCTCTAACTTATTTTCAGTTTCCATCTTGCACATGGAGGGATAGTGACGCTAGAAGTTGACCTTGCCTCCACTTTTAAGGGTTGAGGTGGATATGGGTATCAGTCGTGAAAATCACGCGCGGAAAGACGCCCCTTTGCACATTCGCCCCATCTGTGTGTATGTCAAAGTAAGATCAAATCATGTGATTCTTGTCAATCGGAACGCGTTGGCGAGATTCCACTAGGGTGAAAGACGGAATAGTCGATATGAGAGGGAGGAATTGTGGCAATTCCGGTTACTTTCTCCAATCTTCCAAGGAAATCCACGGTCGATTCAGAGAAGTAGCTTCTGACCTAGTGTTGCTGGAGCTTCACTTGCTTGGATGTTTTCCCGTTCAAGGGAGGGGTTACTTTTTGAAACATGGGCCGCAGTTCTTGTTCTTGATAGTACTTGGAATTTATTTTGGCCTTTTTTTTTCAACCTCTCGAAGATCGAGTTTGCCTCAGCAGCTCACAGCAGCGAAGGTCATGAATACGGAGGAGAAACGTTCTGCTCCCTCTCGGTGAAGAGGTTTGACGGCCGCTGCAGACTTCTGTCGATAGCTCGGGTCTTGCTGCAATCATAGAGATGGATTGGTGATGATACATCCAGTGTGGCCAAGTTTTTTCCCCCTGCTGAGTGGTTCTCATAGAGCCGTCGACAAAGAGTCTTTCGCGAATGTGTCTGTGAATAATCATGTAGACTTTGCGTTTTCTGCGGGTTGCAAGGCATATATATTGATGAATTATTCGATTGACACATCCAAGGGTTACTCCCAGCTTCTTCGCCACCGCTCTTTGGGACTTGTGATTTTCGTCCATGGCCATATCACGGACTTTCTTGATCATCGGCTTTGTTCTAACAGACCTGGGCTGCTTTTGAATGGGGCAGGATAAGCGGTTGGCAGCTCATCTTGAGCTGCCAACCGCTTCTCACCAATGTTATTGATTACATTGGATATTGACCCAGCTGAAAAATGTCATCCAAGATCTTTACATTTCTTTTAAATCACCCTGTAAGGGTGATTTAAAAGAAATGGACACGGACCCTCCATTGTAAGGATTCAAATGATTGTTTAAACTTCTTTTTCCAATGATTTCCTTGCGAATTGAATTCTCCCTCAGAGGAACTTCACAATAACTTGTGAAGGAGTAGGCTCAACAATGGAGCAAGATCGATTGTTTCATCTGAAGGCAAGAATGCCGTTACAGCAAGAGGAAAAGTGTTCAAATCAAGCGTGAACAGGTCTCGCATTCTTTTGAAGTGAGCAGATTGAAATATTATTTGACGCGAGTAACCTCACGTTGACGTGCTCCAAAGAACTTCATTAATCTGCCATAGATGGGTTTTTCCATTTACAAGTAGGTAGCCCGTGCAAAAGCACGGAAATATTAAAGGCAAGGAATGCACACATTGCCATGGGAGGCGGTGGCCACACTCCCCCCCTGCCCCCTGGTTGGCCATGTGAGAAGACAGGACGCGGCAAAATAATCCCTAAGTTATCGGTCTGCCTCTGTGCTTCGTTAATCATCATTGCGAATGACGGGAAACTGACGCCGAGCGGAGACGAAGGGCAACCCAAAGATCATGGCGTTACCTTAAATCTTCGCCTCATAGAACAATGTGGTTTGTAGGCTTTTATTGGCGGCCTCACGCTACTCACATCGCGACCCGCCGAGCCCACCTCCGAAGGTTAATGGCTTCATGGCACGCTGCGTATACTTGGGGGGGGGGGGGACGGACCCTAAAGTCCATCACTATTTTCCATGTAAGCCTTTTAGTGAAAAATACATATAAAGAAATGGGATGGTTACGACGCCGCCGACATCGTCTTTCCTAAGCAAGAGTAAGCTCTCCTGCTCCATACAGGTGGGATCCCGCCGTTTTCACCCTCGGGAGTCGCTCTCTTTGTGAGTGCCGATCGATAGGAGGACTGGATTCCAACTGATGAGGTAATTTGTTGGAATATGGCCCTACAGAATGAAATCTGGTCATCACGGCCCATCAAGGTCGAATTTGTATTTTACAATGCTTCTAAAATACAGATTCATATCTCATTTACTAAATCCCAGCAAGGTGCATGCAAGAAACCGCGTGGATATTGCGCCTTTGAATCTTTTCCAAGTTGGTCCCAAGAGGCCATATTACCGCGATTGTTGGGGGAATATAGCCACTTCTCAAAAAACAACTCAAGGTTTTCCATGTGAGCGTTTAAATGCTTGAATATGCCGAGTACCTCAAGGCATAATAAGGGGGATTCAGCCGTTGAAAAGGAATTCATTAACCCTATTGATGTGTAGCAAAGAAGTCGACATTATTACCCGACTCAATGACCTGTTGCAAAAAAGCAGGATTGCAACGTTTTTGGTTTCAAGTAGTATTGCACGTGATTGGGAGCGTGTATCTACAGACTGTGGGTGTGAGAGAAGTGATCAATCATAAATTAAAGTGAACATGCGCCTGGAGTGCAAAATAAGTGGTCTCACATTGCAGGAAAACGCTGCGTAGTTTTTGCAGGTATGGGTGAATATTGCCAAAAAATCACAGGAAGCCCTTTTAACTTTTTGTACTAGGGATTTTTACTTGCATTTCGAAAATTTCTGGAGTGTATCAGGCGAAGCGGATGTCCAGGAGGCGGTGCATGGGCATATCTTCATGCTCGGCCTCCTTTTGTACTGCATATTTCGTCCGGATGTGCAGTACGTTTATCCGGAGGAAGCGCATTTGATGATCTTTTGCAGTCTGAGATCCCACATGAAAGGAAGCTGACACTACCAATAGGTCAGTGTGGTGCTAATAGGAAATGAAAGATGTGCCCATATTGCCCCAAATCGAGATGGCCATATTCCCCCATATTGGCTTGCATGACAAAATTGACAACACTGCCTGCAAGCCGCAAGTGAAGGGGCAAGCAACTTCTACTAGTATAAGCATTCTGGAGGGACCATAGAAGAACTTTGAAGACGTGGTTTCTGCATCCATGCCGCTATTAGGAAACATACGCTTAAGTTGCTGAAGGCCCATATTAGTTTCATATTCATGAGTCAAAGAATCGCATGCATGTCTTTCAAGACATCGATGTATCCCGAATTCCTGTAAAAGTTGGACCAATGAACAGGTCTAAACATTTTGACAATGGCATGTACTCTTCCATAAAACAATTTTTTTTATATCGCCAAAATTAATTATTCAGTCTGTAAGGGGACTCATTGCGAAGGGCCATATCACCCCAATGGCCATATTCCCCTAAGTTACCTTACAGGGGTCGGTATCCCGAGAAATATACTGGCGGAGATCCCATACCGGCGAGAAAATCATCCTTCCTCCAGAAATGAAAGGGGACTCCAAGTGCTATACGTGGGGACATTTTACACGTACCTGCGGAGAAGTCCGTTTTGGGTTGCCCTAAATAGGAAGGTCGGGAAGTAAGTATTGATAGAATGCCCCTCTCTCGCGTTGTAAGGTTAGGGATGCCATGGAGAGTAACGTCTGGTCGGTCTGGGTGCGGTGGTGTAGTGGTAGCATATGCGACCGGCAATCATTAGATGCTGGGTTCAAAGTCACCACATTCCGTAATTATAAGTTTGTCCTCTTATGTCTTCCGAACTCTTCTCCCTTCCCCCCCCCCCCATGGCTATTACGTTCTCGAGAATAGATCCGACAGTCGCAACGGCAGCAAAAATATGCGAGTCGAGAGAGGGAGACATACATCCAGCGGGAGACAGGAGATTCTATGTGGAGAGTACACTGTCGCGCTGGGCACACGCGTGTGTCATGCGTGCCTGCGCATGCCACGGACCACCGACCGCCGCCGCCGCCACCATGGACCACAGTCGATTTTATTATATAGATTCAAAAATGAAGTTTGATTCTTTTTTTCAAGATCATACTGCGGAAGATCTTATAGCTTTTTTACTTTTCCAAAAATATATCCTGGAAGCGTTCTTCACAGACTTCCCTTCGTAAGTACCAGATATTATGAGACATTTTGAAACACGTTTTTTAAGATCGCTCACGCTCCATACTTTAAGTACCATTGCATATTGCATTTGTATTATTTTACGTATTACATCAATTGCATTCTAGAGCTGAGAATTGGGGATTACCCGCCCCCACCTCCGTTTCCCTTGTACATCTAACAAATCAGGAAGGGACTCCATGAAGAGAATATAAGGAAAAATCATTGAACAGCTAGACCAGGGAAACAATGCAAAACAAACCCAGAAACCAAGAAAGACAAGTGAAAAACATTAAGGTGCGGTATGGTACACCCATCGGGTAACCAAACCGCACGCTATCTTTAAGTAATAATCGCTGATTCGAAGTAATCGGAATGAAAATTCATTTACTCCCTATCTCTAAATCTGCTTTCCCTTTGATTTTAAATTAATTTCTCAATTCTCAATGATCACCTGGGAGAAAAGTTATTCCATGGAAGCAAAGATATTCAAAGCTGCCGGCATCATCTGCCAGAGAGAGTTATTTTAGGATGGAAGAGCTATTCCAGGATGCAATGAATGATATTCTCTTTCATTCTAATATGCATTCGACTCTACATTATAGAATTATCCTGGGAGAGGTGGCATTTCTTCTATTGTGCGGGTATTCCAATAATCGGAATTACCTACTTCGTACCTAGGAGTTCTTTTATGTAATGGGAAAAGGGTAACTGAGAAAAATACCGACAATGTAGTGTATTTCGTCCCCTACTTTCGCCCCCCACATACTTGAATATGACAAGCATTCAGTAAGCTCTTTTTTTAAAGCAAAATTGCGACACGCAGCAAAGTAGAAACGTACAAGAATAGTTGCAGAAGTGAGGCGTCCATTTTGTGTTCATAGGGTTACAAACTGTACTGACGTTGGTACCTTTGTATGCATGCGGTCCATATATTCACATTGGTACCTTGCAGATGAATGCCCTTCTGGCGTACATATGATGCATGGTTTGCTTGTGTGCAAACTCACGGAAAGCACTTCTTGGTTAATGTTTCCGATCCAATGGTACCGAATGGTACGGCCGCTCAAGAACGACGCCGTCGTCGAGAGATCACTACCTTGCCTGACATTGTTAAGGTCAGAGCCATGCCAACATTATGGAAGCACGATGATGACCGGGAATGTGACCTCGATTTGGGCATTAGTTGTTCTGCCTCACTGAAGTTCATCATAAGATCCCTCATTGGTGACAATTGAGGTTCGTATTTAGATACTTCACATCCTTACATTCGATACAGCGTAAATGTGGGGTTCTTAAGAAAGGACTCACCTGTTCCATTTCTGTAAGAGAAAAAGGTACATGCTGTATGTGTACCTTTTTTACTTTGGTACTTTTTAAACAAACGTTTTCACGAAATTTGGCATAATCTATCAAATGTGTACCTCTTTGCACGTTTCTACTTTATTGCACAGTGTTCGCTCACACAACCTAAATCGGCATGATGTGCACATTCCATTCGAATTGTATACATCCCAGAACAAGGAGTCTAGCAAATGGGAGAGGTCGGATTTAAAGCTGAAAAGTACTGAATTTGTATAATCCTAATAGTATACCCATTTTTAAGCTGTTGATTTTTTAATGATGCTTTTGTCTACATGTCATTCATGTAATTCGCCACTTTAGATAATTCAAAGAAGCTGTGGTTGAAATGTATTCTAATGGGAATGCTTTCAAGATTTCACTCAGGGGTATGAGATAAAATCGAGGGAAACGGGTGCAGAGATGCATCCGTCGTTTGTTATGTTTACCACAGAATTAGGTCACTAATTTCGATCGTCCCAATTTCGGGATGCAGTTATACATTGGGTTATGCTCAAGAGCGTATTCAGAATTCGAAAGACTTTACCTGCTCCTGTTGCCCCGACTAGCATGAGAACCTTCCCTGCTCCACCATCACTTCTTCTTTGTTTGCCAATTTCATACTTCGCCAATCTATTGTCTTCATCTCGCATCACCTCCTTCTGCGGAAGCTTGTGAATAAATCCGTCAACGCTCTTGCTCTTTCTCTTTATTTTTTCTGCCAGTTTCTCGGTTTGCTCATCTTCTCCATTGCCTTCATGTGTCTCACCTCCACGATCCTGATTCTGCTGGATCTAATCGATTCCAGGATATCACCAAATCGGAAAAGTAGGTGAGAAGTAATAATCCCTGTCTCCCACCTGCATATTTTGTAATGCGTTTCTCCAGAAGTCTAGGCTTTGCGACACTCCCATCGCCTGAAAAATGTAAATACATGTCCAGGATCCAGATGATCATCTAATATATATAGACGATCGTGACTGACTGACTGACGCTAATTCCCCTAAACCCCTGGGGGTACACATTTTGGAGGGAAAAGTTTTTTAAAAATATTTATATATATTGTGACGTATGAGGATGGGATTCAAATGGCGGACTGGACGTGCCGGGTTCGGTGGTGTAAAGATAGCACATCAGACCGGCAATCAGGAAGTCCGGATACAATTCCCAGTCATGGCTTTCCTTTGTCCTTATTTTGCCTTCCATATCCCGTTACCATTCCTCGCCATAACATTCTTCTTGCTTGAGTAAAACGGAGAGACATGTAAACCTGAAACCTTCCAGACGATGAATTCAGGAAAAAAGCAAAAATGTAGAACTATGCCTGAAGGGATATTTCTTGACGCTGATGTTTTCAAGTATTTTATTCGTGTCATGGCGTATTGAGCTCGTGTGGAAAGATGAAACTTGGTACATAACTACATATTGGGTTTCTGCATGGAGAAAACTTCAGACATTGGAGTAAATGCCCTGGGGGTACTAATTACAAAGGCAGATGTTTTCAGCTAATTTTTTTGCATTAGTTAAACCGATGCACATGGAAAGCTGAAACTTTGCATGCATGTGACTACTGAGACAAAGAGTTAAATATTAATAAAAATGTTAAGTCTCCATACATCCCCTGGGGGAATTTTTTCGAGGGGCAATTTTTTGAAGAAATAAAATTGACGTAGCGAATTGCACAGAAATGGAAAGGTGAAATGTAGTATACGTATAAGTGACATGATATTATTGAGTTGAGGGAGTATTCAGCTTTCATGGTACATCCCCCTGGGCATAGCTTTTGGGTGGGTCGGCTATTCCAAACATGTTTTTTCACCAAAGAAAAGGGTAAACGTATAATATTGAAATTTTGTGGGCATGTAGTTCACTGAGGATGGAATTCTTTAAAAAAAAAAGTACTTTTCGGTTAAAACGGCTGAAAGCACATACTGTATTTTGCAAAAGGTGTATTTTCCCAAATTTTCTGATCCAGCAAAACAAAGGGCGCTAGAATGTTTAAACTTGGCAAAGACGTACCTAATGGATAGCTGAATGAAGAAAAAAGTCTACTTTTATTATATACAGATGATCGTGAGTAACTGACTGACATAAGTAGCTATTCGCATGCTGAATACAGGAAAAATTCTACTTTGGTGATACATGCCATAGGAGCACAACTTTTTCGGGGAACATATTTTTTGAAATAGTTCTCTTTGCTTCAATCAAACGGAGACACATGGATAGCTGAAACTTGGCCAGGATGTGACAGCGGACGCACTGAGCTTAAATGTCAATGTGAAATTTCCAAAATATTTTTGGGGTTCATATTTCTTGGGGATGTAACGTTTTCAAATAAGTTTTCATATCCTGCAGAATCGGGCAGAAATAGAAAAGTCGCTGGCGCACGCATAACGGACGTGATGTTGATTTATGGAAAAATTAAACTTTTATTGTGCGTCTCCTCAGAGCACAGCTTTTTAGTAGGTCGCTTTTCCAAATACTTTTTTTCCGCCAGCAAAAAGGGAAACGTATAACGCTGAAACTAGGTGGCATGGAGTTCCGTGAGCCTACATTTCAAAAGAAAAAAAATTCGTTAAAACCCATCAAGTCACTTTTTTCAGTCCCATTTTTTATTTATTTCTTTTTAATCCAACGAAACAGCGACAAAAAATTTAAACTTCCCTCTGAAGTTCCTGTTTAATGGCTGAGTAGAGGAAAAATCCTATTTTTTAAATATGTTTCCTTAGTGTAGTTTATAGGAGGAAAGTATTTCAAAATGCATTCTCCACCCTTACAAAATGGGACAAAAGAAAAGATTTCAAGTTAGAAACGCTAGGAATCATAGAAGTAATGATTTTGATAAAAATCCAGATTTTCGTCCCTATGAGTTACGTATTTCAATGAGGACGTACCTTAAGTACGTGTTTGCCATTTCGCAAAGAATAAATGAATTAATATCTATTCCAGATAATGGAGCCCTGAAGGCGCGACTATAGCGAGTTTTTTTCCTCGAAGGTCAAACAAACGCGCTAGTGTCAAATATTGTTGAAGAATAAGTTCCCTCTCAATAGCACTAATCAATAACCCTTGATTCAGCATTGAGAAAACAATGACAAGAATAGGAAAAAAAGTATTGCCCTACCTGCATAGCTCCCATTAGTCTCTCTGCAATTGACTCCGTACTTCGTGATCCTCTTCCTACCTGAAAATATGCATGTACTTATTGTATTCGTCACCTGAAAAGATGAAAACTTCAGCCTGTTAACTCCGACCATGAAAGTCTTTCTAATTCAGGCGTCTTACCTGAAGGGGCTGCGAAAACACGAGGAAAATCCAGTTGAAACTTTATTTCGCATCACTTTCCACCATATTATGGAAACGTCCACTTTTCAAGAGATTTTTGCGTCGTTGAACCTCCTTTCATTCCGAATGACGTACATGTCCTAATCACTTCATTTAGTCGGTTGGATTTAGCATCTAAATGAAGGGGTTACTTTTTCAATTATGATTCATCTCATAAACTTTCTCCAATATATTTTTCATTCTGAGTCTCAGCAAGCTCACGACAAAGGATGAGATCACAAAAAATGTCTGAAGAAGTTTCATTTCCTGAAATATCTCACAACAAGGAATTATGCTTGGGAAAGAGGCTATATGAAACTTCACAGGAGTTCTTCATTTGTTGGGCATATTGAATCCGCTAATACCGAGAGGTTTAAATAATTCAATAACACTGAATAATGATTGTCCTTGAAATATAAAGCGTTGAGAAATTTCAGGGTTTCTGACTTCCCATGCGAATTTGAGGCGAAAGTCTGGAGTATTCTTGGAGTGTTCTCCTGGCTCCGAAAGGAAGCAATCGATTTTGAATTAAAAAAAAAACACTAGGTTTTCTTCTTGCATCACTGACACTACCTATGCTGTCATTGTTCACTCTGTGGGTGTCATTTCTGGTAGTAAATCAACTGAGTGATATGGAGTCGGTGTTCAGGCATTTTCTGCGAAGTCATTTTATACGCACTGAAACAGGGAGGGCCATCTCGGATTTCGAGATGAAAATTATCAGGGATTGCAGTCTATCGAATGACTCCGTAAGAAAAGTGTCGGTTCCATTGAGTTAGTAGTTAGCGAGATATCGCCCCTCAAACACTGGGGGAAAACGGAAAAATCCTATGGACACCAACATTTTCATATCAGGAACCGTTTCTCGTATGTGGCGTGCAACAGCTTGAATCGAGGGTCTGTGATAGACGAACAATTATTCCAATACTATACTGGAGTTTGAAGGAGATTTCAGCATCATAGTTGAGTTCGAATCTATGGAATTGTAGCAATTTTGACCGATAAAAATCTCCATGTGGCGAGAGAAAAGGAAAATCTCTCGTTATGGCAGGTTGAACTTCTATTTCAGTTGCATAAAATAAAAAGAAGTTACTTGCTAGACTTTTGTTCGCTATATACTGTAGATGCAAATGGAGCAGCGGGTCAGTACAAAAATCGGAAAAGTTTTGGAAACTTTTGTCTTCATGAGAACGAATTCGGAATTCAAACGAATGGAATTTCTTTGCTACCTCACGTGATGAAGCGCTTGCGGCGGTGTGGGAGGGACAGTTCAGCGCCTCGATGTAAGGGCCAGTCTGAAGCAACCTGGTAACGATCAAATTCTGTCTGCGAAAGACTTGTTCAGTATCAGTTCAGTTCAGGGTAGTACACAACATGGAGCAGATCAAACGGACTTGGTTATCCAGAGAAGACGTTCTTCACGCTCAAGAACATCTACGGAATCGCCATGCATCGGCATTAACCATCCCCGGTACCCATACCTTCCACATGTTTGTGCCAAAAAACGAGACCCAAATCTTCGCTTTCTTTGTCTTTAGTCTATACCAGCATCTCTAGTCTATACCAAGTCCAAAACTTACAAGACCGCTAGAACGTTCCTAGAGGAGCCTTATTTTGACCCCAATGTGGAGTATTGGGTTATTGTTTCAAATGAGGGAGAAATCTACCTCGGAGAAGGTCGAGCGATAACATCCACAACAGTGACCATCTCTATCATAAAAAAAAACCAGAAACGGTCCATTCAAGTGGCTGAACCCAGTACCCTGAACCAGAGTAACGAGTACATCCGTGCAAGGATATCAGGAGACTAAATCCTCCAGTTCCAGTCGGGGGAGTCGGGGAATCATTGGACATCCAATTGGATGGCCTATTGGATATCTGTTTTTTTTTTTATCCATTGGAGATTCACTATGGGAAAGCTATCGAATGATTGTTGAGGGATGCAGCATAATTAATCCCCGGGTAGCAACGGAGCAAAATTTGCACTTTAACAGATATTCTAAGCACGGGAGAGGAGTACTTTCTGTACTTCTACGATCTCGCCCTATCACATTCCAGGGAGGACTGGAAGAGAAGTGTCACGATGGAAAGTAACATATAATTGAAGATAACTCTGAATTTCCCATCCTTATCTCTCCAAGCAGGAGGCAGATTATCAATTCCAAATGCGACATGAGCTGCATAAAAAAGGGATGGACTTTCTTGGTAGGGGGAATCACTCTCTCCATGAAACGTGCAAGAATTGCCGGGAGTCTCCTTAAGCTATGTTACAACTCTCAACAAATAAATGAATAATAATGAGTTCCTTCCTTAGACCTACACGTAGGAAATTATCGAGTAGGGGATGAAAACTTCCGCGAAATAATTCGTTAGCATCTAGGGAATCGGGAGGCATAAAACGACGGGATGATCGTTTTGCTCCAGATGGGATTCTGGACAATTGTCTAACACCCACAACTTGAGTTTTTTTGCCAAATATCCCTCAGGACAGGAACTGACATATCCTCTTCGCTATCAGAGAAGTAGAATGCAACCCAGACGTGAACATCGGTTTCTTAGTCATAAGAGACGGAGAGAAAGGAAGTATAAAATGTTATTGGGGATGGTGAATGATGGGGAAATAGGACAGAGTAACTCTGTTGCAGCCAAGCATTGCAATATCTACATGCAACCTAATGAACAGACAAAGTAATCAAGAACGTTAGTCGAATAGGCAAACTGAGACATACATTACTAGATTGAAAACTCTTAGCAGTAGTTCAAACCAATGGGGATATACATAACATTTGAATATCTAGGGATTTGTGAGTTTACCAGGTTGTACCACAGCTGTGTATCACTGAGTCGAACATTAAATTAGGTGTCACCATCTGTGGTGAGTTCCATGGATGTTGCTCTCCGTTCCAGATCTGGAACGCGTAGCCAAACTGCCATTCGAAAATCTAGAACTTGAACGCCTAGTCATACATTCCTGTCCCTGTCCTCCTCAAAAACGGGTAGCCAAAACTCTCTAATGTCACAGTATCTACATAATGATTGGAGTTACTGGGTTGTGACCTAAGACGGGAGTTTAGAAGGAAAGAAAAGGGGGAAAATAATTCCCATGATCTGACGCTAATAACGGCGTTCCGTAAAAGCTTCATTCAAAAAAATGGAAATAATTCAGTGCTCGATGTAGGGAAATTCTGCTTGAATGAAGCTCAAAATGCATGAGAAATCGATCCATAGCTATGACATCCTTTTGTGCATCCAAAGGGCGACCGCCTCTGGACTTGTACCCATCTCTAGACAAATGGACTGTCCATGGACGAGTTTTGGATCACCCATGGCTACTTGGGTCAGAAATAAAACATCAAATTCCTAAACTATCAGCCACAATCACATTCCCCTAATTGCCTCAATAACTTGTGAGGCTCCCAAATGTATGCAAAACATAGTATATGCATGAATGGAAGTAGTAGTCCCGAATCAAAGTGAAGTGCAGCATCATTCAAGAAACAGAATGTGCCAAGGTGATTGAGAGCATGCCCAGATGAGTTACGGCAACGCTAAAGGCCAACAAAAATTAATCTGAGTGGGATATATTAGAGAAGATGATTATTAACAAAAATGTCGGAAATTACCCTTCCTTTCCTAGTTACATTTAGTCATCTATTAGTAGAAGCCTGCATCCTCCGGGTCTCAGTTTTACACCCAGACTACTCTATATATGTTCTACCCTGAATACATGGTGCTCAGATGTTACAGAAAAAAAAAATTGCTCCTTAATGAGACTCGTAATCCATGCCCTTCTGCAGTACATTGGTAAAAAATACAGTTTGATTATGCCCATTTTCATACAAGGTTGAATGGGTTGTAAATGAAATTTCCAATTCAATAATATTTTCAGAATAACATTCCCATGTAAGTACTTTTGCTTTGACAAAAGGAAACAAGAACCTACATCTTCCATAGCCCATTTGAGGAGATGTGACCAAATAGCATTTATCCCATCTTTTTGATTTGGCATTGCTTGGCTCCTGTCCAAAAGAGAAACAATTGTCAGCATATTGAATCTGAATCTGAATTGAAGGAAATAATCTCACCAGAAAACTTTGCTCACCCAAATACTGCATTCCTGTTGTTGGACACACTCGGATGACCACCTGGTTGCGGATGTAGGCCCTGATGATGGTAGTATGGTTCCTGATATGGATTGAAATAACTAGTTGGATTTAGGCTTCGAAACTGAGGTTCTTGAAGATATGCATTCTGATACCCTCGATTTGTATGATAGCTCATGCCTGGTTGGTAATTGTAGTATTGTGATTGAGCCATGGGTCGATATGCATTATATGCCCGTGTGGATCTTGAATCATAGAAATTACTTGTTCCAAGTCCCTGTTGATAATTTGGCCGTTGCCATTGTTGCCCTTGCTGTTGGAGCCCCGTTGATGAAACATATTGAGGATTCTGACTCGAACAGGCTGCCCTTTGTGAGGGAATGTATCCAGTCATGGGAATATGTGGTTCCATTAGATATTTCTGGTGTTGTGACCAGATATGTTTGGGGTTGTTCTGGTCATTAGGGAATCCGCTTGCGGCATTAAATTGCTGTAATGTTGCTGGGTGATATGCATTCCCCATTTGTGGATTCGAAGAGTTTTCTGGAGAAGTCAAAGGGAGAAAGGTGGTCCCTTGTGACAAATTGCTCTGTTGTTGAAGTGGTTGAGCATTTGAAGTAGTCTTTGAAAAATTCGAAGATGAAGGGATTGGAGTCTCTTGTGGAGAATAATATTGTTGTTGTTCCGGAAGTTGGGTCAACATATACTGATGATGTTGTGTGGCATCACTGTACCTGGTACCATACGTATTTATTGCATTTGGTGCGTTCAGAGACGTTTGCTGTCTTGATGTGAATTCCATTTGTTCCTGAGCGATGCTACCCTTGGCAGAAGTCATACAAAAACCTGGAGTCGTTGCTCCTGCTGCTGACCCAGGAAAAGTTCCTAAATAGGGCATGTTTCGCTCCACACAAGTCATGCGATTCCCTGATGCCATAATATTCCCTTGCTTTTGTTGATACTCATCAATATTTTGCTCTTGAGTGGAATGTCCTGGCCTAATGTCTGAGGAATGATCGTGGTATGGGATCGGATTTATTGAAGGAATAGTTTCTTGGAAATGGGAGTGCTGTTGAGTCCGTACTTCTTGCTCAGAAATCAGACGTGCTGATTCGCCAGTTGAATGTGTGACTATCTTCTCTGAATGAGAACTGGTTTGTAGTGATTGCTGGTTGCTTTCAAGTTGAGGGTGTTGGTTTTCAATGAACCAGTCAGTGACAGGTTTTTCAGGAACTTGTGTTTCTTGAATTGTTATGCTGTGCTGATTCCTCCTTAGGTGTTTGGGTTGACCAATACCCGTTGAGGAATGAATAACACCTCCCGATTGAGGAAAGCTGTTCTGCAGTGGCCTTTCGAAGCTTTGCATTTGTTTCTGGTTGTTTGGGCTAGACATACCACCAGGAAGGTTCTCCTGCAATTGCAGATTATAATTTCTTTGAAATATGTCATGTGATTCATCGGATAAATGTACCAGGTGGGGTTGTGCTGTGTCGATTTCCCCTTGCTTTGCAATAGTATCTGAAATGGGGGTGACGTGCGTGAACGGTGGTTCATTTGAGTTCATTGTTACATGCGATCGTTGAGCTTGTGTTGCTTCTCCAGGTGATGAGGCTTGTGACATTAAATCGGAAGAGACTTGTTCAAATAGCGGCGAAGTAGGAGGATCAATTTGACATTTAGGGCGCTGAGAATCTAAGACTAATGGATTCTCTTGTTTTGTTGTGCTGGAGATGTTTAGAAGGGATGATTCCTTTGAAATTTCCGTATCTGTGAGAAATATGTGTTTTTCCATGTCTTTGCTATTTCTTTCTTGTTCAATATGCTGCGGCATGACACTTTCTATATTCGAACTCGCCTTCTTACATTGCTGCGTTTCAATATTGCCTCTTATGCGCCTTGGCGCTGGTATTGGACTCCTTCCTTGAATTGTATTATCTGCGGATGGGTTTTTGAGAACGCTGCCTCCATTGAATTCATCTTCCATTGTACCGTAGATAAGACTGTGCCTACCAGGTCCTGCTAGAAGAGGAAATGAGAAACTGTAACTTCAATGACACTTTTGTCTTTAAACAGGTGAGGCAATGTCGCACAAGTATGCATATGGAATCTGATATGTATACAGGTTGTCATTAATGGTCTGTCGTTGGTGCGGCATTTTATTTTATGAATGACAGGTTGTATTGCCTAAAACCACCAAGGGTTCCCTTGCCAAAAAGCAGGGAGGCATATTTTCTTAGTCCTTCCGAGTTCTAGTGTCATTTCTGCTTCATCTTCAATGTTTATAACTAGTGACAGGTAAGCCTGCTGCAAACAGGAGGAAACGAAAAGATATGTTGTCGTGGAACTAGAGGCTACCATCCTAGTAGCACCTGAACGTGTTCAATGAGCGTTTCATTCAACTTATTGCCATCGTTCCATTGACGTCATTGGGAACGTTCTATTGACTGCCCAAATATTAAAAAATTCAAAACAATGAAAAACAGTTCAATTCATGAGTTCACTGAATTAACTTGAATTGAATATCTCCATGGAAAGTGCTCAATAAAACTTCTTTTTCTTATGATTCATCCGATATGCAATTGACGTTTTTGACACGATCATTGCATCACTTAAATTGCATTCGGTCTAAGTAGAGCCCTACTCACGTGGCCGGGGTTAGAAACCATAATGTGGCTGATTAGTAGGATTGAAGGTACTATCTTACACTGGCTGGAATAGGCTGGTGAAGAAGCGAGGGGAAATTCAACCTTACAACAGAAATGTTCATGCTATCTGCATATATATTATTAATATATTCAGAAGTCAGACATTCCATCTACAGAAACCCCTTTCTTATGAGAGATATGTTTATGAATGCTCAAATTATTTTTCATAAAGTCACCTTGGAAATTGAGCCATCCTCCCTCTCGTTCGAGACTGAGTTCCCTGGAGACTTCTTTGATTGGGATATCTCTAATGACGGATTTGTTCAAGACGGGTTTGTTATTCCGCTCTGGAGAGAAAGATCGGCTATATTGTGGAAAGTATTATGAAGTAATTCAAGCTGTATCAGGAATTGATCCGTTACAGCGACTACTTTGACGCCATATATCTTCGGTTGTGTGACCCTTTTTTCTTCCAGCCGATATTAAATAGGTACCAAAGATGAATTTGAGGAAAATATCATGAACGTTCGACAAACGTCCTTTAAATACAGAAGTTTCGTGATTGAAAGACACTTAACTGAGTGCTAAAAAGGTGCTCATTCCGGTACACTGGATGTCCAAAGACCTCTTTGATAACATGTCGAACGTCCTCGAAAGCGTTTATGTGCTACTTGGGCAATGTCATCTATATAATAAAATTTACTGTGGTCCGTGGAGGTGGTCGTGGTCGGTGGTTCCGGGTATGCGCCACCACACATGACAAACACGAGCGCTTAGCGCGATCGTAGTGCTCTCCCCATAGTCTTCTCTCTGGGTGCACGTCTCCCTCTCTTGGGCTGGCATTTTGTTCTGGCCGTTGCGATTCTCTGATCTATTCTGGAGAACGTAATAGCCTGGGGGATGGGGAAAGGTTCGGACGACATAAGAAGACAAAAAGAAAGTGATGGAAAGGGAGAGAATTGAATTCAAGGCCTCGAGACTACCGGTTGAGTGTGCTACCACTGTACCACCGAACCCAAGCCTTTCAGTCATGCTCCTCCATGCCATCCCTAACATAGCAACGGGAGAGAGAGGCATTCTATGCACGCTTCCTGATCTCTACTTTGAGGGGTCCGAACACGGACTTTTCCGCAGGGACGTGTAAATCGTGCCAGCGTATTACACTTGGAGTCTTCTTTCATCTCTGGATGAAGGATGACTTTCTCGCCGGTATGAAATCTCCGCCCATATACTTATCGGGATCCCAACCTCTATCAATCGAAACCACATCCATGCGGTTGAAGGAGTTGAGGTTCTTTGCCTTCGCCCTTCTTTCCGAGTATCTACTTTTCCAAGTGGGCTAAAATTCCTAGACAGGTCGTACCTAATGGGAGTTGGGGGTATTATGCAATATGGTCACAAACTTGCCAAACTTGGACCACTTTTGCATAATGACAAGAAGCAATGTTAATTCAGAAGATGACCTTGCCATTGTAATGGTATTTTTCAAAGAAGGGAGAAGGGGAAATCTTCTTACGACATTAGTTTGGGTTCTCTTCAGCAGTCACTGCACATTTCGATGCAAAAGGAACCAAAGTGCGGCAAGACTCAACTTGGACATGCTAGAGCAGATATTGTTGAGTGAACTTAGGCTTAGGTTTAAACGTGAATTCATTAACCACATCGATTTCCTCGACACAATGGTAGTATTTCTTCCTAGGGATATCCAGGGGATCACGTGGGACGTAGTTCTCGTCATGCACGAGATTCATTTTCGAAGAGTCCGACTCGACGAATTAGCGGTAAAGCTGGTCGATTATCATGAACCTCGAACCTTGTCAAGATCCTTGAAGTAGTTGGTCAATGAAATCCTTCCTGAAGTAGGGCCAAGGGGAAATATTGCCCTTCGAGGCCTTATTCGTAAAATGTGCTATTACCTTTTCTTGAAGATGAGAATCAGCAACTATTAAGTAGATAACATAATATGTGTCTTCTCACTTAACATTGGAGTGGGTTTCACTGGTATTCACTGCAATAATGCTAGCACTGAGTCTTGAGAAAAGTGAACCTCATTTGCCACCCTTTCTATGTGTTCAGTTACATAAACAGAGTGTTTCAATAGAACTCCACATTTATGAGTGCATGTCACTAGTTGAGAAAATGATCATTATATTGTGTTATACTAATTTAGAGGCAATGGTCATGAGGCCACAACTTAGGCCACAACACAAATTCATTCATGTGAATTATTTGTGAAGTTAGTCTTGAAGCAGTGACATCAATATGGACAAACAGTGGCTGTTGAGTATGAATATGCAGGGTATACCATAAGTCACTATACCATTTCAAATTGGAATTTTTTCGAAACTGGAACATGCAGGCAATTATTGTTAGTATTGGTGGAATGAACGATCTAAATAATTTTTTTATAATAATGACTTTGAAACAGGCTCAAAAAGAAAGAGCCTAAAATGCATGCTAGAAAGGTATACTTGTTCAGTGACATTTTTGTTACACTTTTTTGAATCCCTTTCTAAAAAAAAATTGGCAACGTTTATGCTTTTCTCTCCTTCAAATTTCAGACAGACTTAACACACATAAAAAACTATTACAACTTTAAATTTGATTTTGCTGTCATGACGTTTCGCTGTTAATTCCTTCACAATTGACGCCGGAGAAACGGAGAAAATATTGAATCTGGATGGAGGTCTTCATGAGTCCCCATAAGACTGTAAAGTGAATTTCTGTGATTTTTTGGTGCAGAGCCTCTTACAAATGC